CCTGCCCGCCTCTCTCCTCCCCTGCTCTGCCCGCCGGCCGCCGCCGAGCTGCTAGGTGGGGCAGCCCGGGGCCGCCGCGGGAGCCTGAGAGGAACCCGGCGCCTCGATGAGCTCCTAGCTCCCACCCTGCCCCGTCCTCGCCGGCAGCAGCTCCAGGTGCGCGGGTCAGAGCAGAGCCGGGGACGCCGCTGGCTGCAATGGCGTCCAACATGGACCGAGAAATGATATTGGCTGATTTCCAGGTAAATTTCGAGCCGCCGCCGCCACACAACCGTGGCCTCTCGCTGCTTTTCTCTTTCTCCTCGTTGCTGTGCTGCTTGTTCTTTGTGGGAAGGTCCAGGGCGGTGGGTGTGAAGCCCACCCTCCAGAGCCTCCGCTCTTTCTTTCTTTCCTTTCTTTCATTTTCTTTTTCTTTTTTTTTTTTTTTCTGTCAGAAATAGGGAACATGTATCCTCTTCTCTCAAGGTGTGTGAGCAAAACGTCCTCTTTAACTTAGAGAGTTTCAGTTTTTAATAAAAAGAAAAAGGCTTTTTCGTCCACTTTGCTTGTTCTAACCCTTTACAACCACCCAGGCCCTGGGACAGCTGTGTGCCAGCTCACTTGGAAGAGGCAAATGCCAGGGAGGATACAAAACTCATCACTGCTCATGATTTGTCACGGTGTTTGTAATGAATCACTTGCTGGTACTACCGATTAACGCTGAACAGAGGTGTTTCCATTATAACATCAACACTAACTTCAAGGTTGCCTCAGCCTATGACTGTTGTAATGACGGTAAAACTCTTCCCACCCCATTTCAAACAACAACATGTTTGTGTAGAAAGGAAGAATATGCCCTTAAAAGTTGTTTGTTACCTTCCCTCTTCCCTACAAAAGCCTTATAATTTAACTTTAAACTCTTAGATCTTATTCCCAGAATAAAGTCTTTCTCTAAATAAAAGTGATGTGTTCAGGAGCCTGGTTAATCTTTTCAGTATGTTGCTTCTTAATATTGCTTTGTTTTTTAATAACAAGTAAACAAACAAGTGGAAGATACCTGCATTTGAAATAGTGGGGAGAGCCAAAAGCAGCTTGGAAGGATATCAGATTATATTTGAATATATCTTTTTAATGTTTGCTTTTCAACTGATTTTTTTTTTTTTTAAGCTTTGTCTATTTGCAGTGGTTGTTCTTACATAGGTAGGCTCCTGGGTATTCTTGGATTGAGTTATAAAACTGCTGTCTGTATGTTCAACTTCTTAAAAGACTGTTTCTCAGCTGTTAGCAGTGAAACCATTTCCTTTTAAAAAAGTAATCCATTCACTCTGTGTGTGTGTTTAACAAGAGTGTTTCTTTGGAATTACAGGTAGGGTGACTGTAGTGTACATTATGTAATTCCTCTTTTGCACAAGGTATCTGATATCTCACTGATGTAACATGCGGAGTTCCCAGTTGATAACAGGGAAGTGTTTTCCCCTTCTGTACCTGAGTATCTTACACCCATATTTATTAAAATGCTTAACAAATGTTTCTATAATGATCCTTTATTTTGTTGTGCTTGGAGATATTTTTATGTGTGTAAGAAGTGATGTCTCAATTCTAAGGCTGGAGTTTCATAAAGGAGTTCTTCCAGTAACAGTACACTGTGTAAAAGGAAACCAGGACCCCAATTCTGTGCTCATACTAGTGGGAGATAGGCTTATGTAATCCCTCATTATTAGCTGAAACAGGTTTGCATTCAGGAATCCCACACGATGATTAAGTTAGTGGCTGGGGGACATAAGATTTTTTTTTTTTTTTTTAGTAGTTTTCAGTCTGTATCCATTTTACAAGTTTTTAGTGTCAATGCTATTTTGAGATTCTCCAGTATTTTTTTGCTTGGGTTTTGAAATCAGTTAATAAAGGTATAAGAGCAACTGCCATGTTTGGTACTATGAAGACAAGTAAGTATTATTGCAAACTTGCAGATGGGCGGTGGAATCACAAAAACTATTTGTGGATCAAGGATGACATAATGTGTTTGAACCTAGGAAATATTTTATCATGTAACAATGCATATTTAAAAAAAAAAAACAAACCTTTTCCTCTTGTATTTCAGCAGGCAGCTTTGTTTTTCTGTTTCGTCCTTTTATTTCCTTTTTTTTTTTTTTTGAATACTCTCAAGCTTCTACCTGATTCTGAAACACTGAACTGTCAATTGTCATGCTATTAAAGTTTCAGATTAGTAAAGGACAATGTAAATCATTATTAGGCCTCGTATCTTTAGGCTGTTACAAAATGGTAAAGGATTTGGGGTGTTTTAAATACTTGATGGAATTTACAACTCATTCACTAAGAATTTAAAATGGAAAATAAAAGATTATGTGCAAAGTAATTCTGCGTGATTTTCCCTTCTATATTTTCTGTATCTTTTAATTAATAAATATGTTTCTGGTAGTTCTGCTGCCATTTGCTATATTTGTGTAATGTATCTTGTTGAAGAATGTTGTGCACACTGGAAATTTTAAAAGCAATTCTTTGTAGTTTTGTTCAGCTAATCTTTGCTGAATTAAATTGGGAGGGAAACATCCATTGTCATTTCACACTCATCTTTCCCAAGTTACTTTTAAGAGGGATAGAGCAGTGGTATTTGAACTTTTAAAACTTGAAAGGGTTTTCCCTCAACATAAGAAATTTTTTAGTGAAGTCATAATTATACTGATGTTTGATGCTTTTGTGGACTGACTTTGTATGTTTCAAAGCCATTAGGGATTCTGCCATTGATTTCAACTAGAGCAGGATCTTGTATTGCATTTGGTTTTTCCTTGTAGTTCTGATTGTTGTAACAGGTTACTTTTGTATTCTGAGGTACTAGAGAGAAATACTTTTAAGAAATGTTTTGTAGATATACATATGTATATGTAAAAACATTGAATACTTTTATAAAGTATTTTAACTATGGAGTAAATATTTTTTCTTAATGTCTTAAAACAATTTAAACTTGTTCTGTGTGGTTTATAATTATTTTCTTTCCCTCTCCTTTTTTAATGAGGTTACGCTATGCTACCAAGGAGTACAAAGTATGTATTCATGCATGTGGGCTGTATAAGCAACCTGTCTAACTTTTCCTTCTTAGGTCCTCACTTAGGAAAGATTATGCAGAAGCTTAGCTTTATACATGAGTAGTCTGATTGTTTTCAGTGGAAGTAGCTGAAGTAGTGGAGTTAAGTGCACAAACAAGTTTTAGCTGTTTTGCTAAATGCAATTCAGAATTTCTCCACAAAGTGTCATTGGCATATAGGAAAACCACCATAGGAAATAACCCAACAACTTATGTTTGTAGCATAAATTCTTTAAAAGGTAATTGCATGTGAATTTGTAAGAGTGATGCTGCAGTGTACCTCAGATACTGGGGGGAATAATGGCATATAATTTCTACCAATTTTTCTTCTTTTGTTTGTTGTGTTTATGTGCAAAATGTTCTTCCATCTCCAGTGGGATACCCAGGTGCTCACATGATACAAATATATTCATGATCTATGCAGTTTGGAGTTTGAAGAGAATAGCTGTCACAGTGTATTGATCCACTTTTCATTATAAAGAAAACAGATATTTCTTTTTTTTGTTTGTTTTCTTTATAAATCGCAAACTTTAGTTGCATTGAAGTTAGTTAAATAGACATAGTTAAACTGTTCAGGAATGAAAAACAATCTTTGAATACTGGCAGAAGTGTCAGACGTCGACATTTTTGTATGCTAGCACCTTTACTTTTTTTTTTTTACAGCTTCACTTAAGGTGGGGACTAAAATTGGCAAGAATATCTTTTTGTCATTATAAGTTATGTCCACCTATAGGACCGCTTTCTTCAGGCTATGTTCACAACAATTCTAAGCGTTGGAGTACTGTGGGAGTTTCCAGCCCCTGGGTGGCCATATATTCCAAGAATATCTGGCGCATGGAGCTTCAGAAGGAAACTTTTCATAGAATTCACATTTTTCATTGACCAAATAAAAAATAGCTCAAGATTTGGTCTAGGTGAGAAGACTTTGGAGTGGAATGGCAAAACTCAATAATCCTTGCTTTCATCGAAACAACAGATATCTAACAGTTTTCTTCTTCCTTCTGTCTTCCATCTATGTTCATTGTGAAACAGAGTTATGCGAGGTTTTTTGTTTTTACAGTTTTCTTTTTAACTGAGGAATAGACTGCTTTGGTATGATTCACACACTTGTATATAAAAATATCTTTTCTTCAAACTTCACCTTTTGTGTCAATCTTTTTCATAAAAACAGAGGTTTGTGGGAGGAGCAAGGGGGAATTGGGAAGGAAGAACCTCATTGCCATCAGTTACAGAAAGGTGAGAAAGCATGCTAGATAATAGTGTTTTAAGTTTTAAAACTGGCCATGACATTGATACGTCAGCGTATTGTTTCTTTATTTTTTTAACTATAATTCAACTTGTTTCCTTCTGGAATGGCTAAAATTAAAGAAACACAGGGCTGTTAAATAACTGACAAGATGTATTTTAAAAGTGGGTTGTTATTTTTTTTTTGGTGGTTATAAGAAACTTATCTGCTTCAGCTCTGTACAGGTTATCTCTGGTTTGCACACTGTTTTCGCTGTCTAGCAGTCTATGTGCAGAATTTACATGTGTATTATTTTTTTTGGGGGGTGGTAAGGGGGCTTTGCTTTCTTCTATGTGTGTTGGCATGCTGGCTCAGGTTTTCTGTCACTTCTAAGTTATTGCCAGTATGAAAATTTGATGGGTGAAGAAGGCAGGCAGATACAGGAATAGCTTCAAGTCAGTCCCCTTAGTTCTTGCTGTGGACTGTGACTTATGCTAGGGGCTGGAAAGACTGTTTCAACCATTTTCTGTAAACCATCCAGTAAGGCATTTTGAACGAATAGCAAAGTTGATATCCTTAACATTGAATTCTGAAAGAAATTATGTTGTTTTGTCATTAAGGCATGGGAGCAGAAAGGTCTGTTCTTTGTTTCTTTGCAGACTTTCTGTGAAGTGTGTGTCAATTCACTTGGAACAAGGTCCTCTGCAAAAGATGGGTGCTGGTGAAACTTCCACTCGAAGTTTAAATCTTTGGAAAGTGTTCCCCAACTTAAGTTTAAAGTTCTCGGAGGTCTACATTTTCATCAGAAAGTTTCCCTAGGCACCTAAATATCTGCATTTATATGTGTTCAGATCTGTCTGAGCTTAAAACCTCAGTCTTGCTCATACAAGACCATTCTTGTGTGTGGCCTCTCTGTAGGATATAATCGGTGGGCGCTC